AAACAACAGAGCACACACTTCCAAGAAAGGTTTTACTTTATTGTTAGTACTATGGTTGCAGTAACATGGTCACTGTTAGGAATGACGAATATAGAACAAGCATATAGTGATATAGAGGATTCAACAGGTTCCCCACCACCACCTGTGAGCCAATCGGCCCATTTCCCGTGGGCGGGAAAGGATAACTGATGGTCGAGGCTGAGAAACAAAACTAGTCTCACGGTTAATTAAAGTGGAGACACTGCACAGACAGGAATACAAGGTCAGCTATAAGTTAAGGATGAGAGAAGCAGGAGGGAAGGAATGTGGCACCAACTTGTACAGAGGTCAGGCAGGCGGAACTCCAGGCCTATAAACCATATGGCAGCCTAGCTGACAGCGGGGTATAAATCCAATCTCCTCCTCCTCCTCCTTCTTCTTGAGTGCATCATGACTACGTGCTTTCAGCTTTGCTGCTTATGCCACTGGGCGTGGCAACCCACCCTCCTGCTGTGGCAGTGTAGGCACAAATCCTACACGGCGTAGGCACAAAAAAGAAAAGGCCCAGATGATTTGATAAGTGCCGAGTCACTTGCAAAGTCCTCTTCTTGCATCCATAAGGCATCCCAGGGAGCTTGTCCCGGGCGTGCGGACTCAACACAATTGCTCCTCACAAATTATTCTTGATCACACACCTTGTGTGTGCTGAGCCACTCCAGCCTGCACACCAGACAGAGGAAGGTTACACGAAACCTTTCTTCTAATGTTCTCCTTCTGCCACAGCCTACATGGGCTAATGGAGCCATGTCAAGGGAGAAACAGATGAGGGACGGACCGTGAAGCTTTAACCAGGAAGTCTCTAGAAGGAGCTGTGGCACTCCTGCAGCTGGTGAGACGCGGGCTTGTAAGAGCGCCACAGGAAAAGATCTTCCCTCCAAATCTAGTATCTCTCCACTTGTGATATTCTGAATTGCTCTGAGCCAGCGAGGGAGAGCTGTAGGCAGAAGCCAGCTGCGTTCCACAGCTGGTGCAAGTATGCAGTCAATTTAATGTTCACACAGGACCCAGTGAACTTGATGGGCACATCTGTTGATGTTAGACTTGTCAGCT